TCCAGTCGGATAAAGTATTTTTTGGCAAATACCACGGCAGAGAGGGTAAGAAAGGCATATCCTATTTGCATATACCCCGGCGCTGTTAAAAATGAACGATATTCATTTGATAAAAGTAAATTGGTGAAAAATACACTGGCTATCAACCAATCAAAACCCAGGATTCTTACATAAGGTGTAATTATATTATTAAAGAGCAACGCGCTTTTTTTTTCTTTTTCTTTTTTATCTTAACCGATTGAGCTATGACAACAACAGTGACTGAGTAATTAAAATTGTATAAGTAGTGTATTTCAAAAATCGATAACGGTAGACCGTACGATGTGAGAAGTTTATTTATTTATGATGAAATGACATTTAGTATTCTAATAGTATTACACATCAAAGTTTACTGTAGGGTCATTTACACGAAGTTTCATTCCCGTTCAACGCTGTATTCCTTGGAGGATACACCGATCTTTGTGAGTGAAGCCGGCTTACTTAGCGGCGACCTGTCATATCAAGACACCTCTTTTATAAACTGTCGTTATTCTTATTATCATGATAATATTTCAAACATATGTACTTACTTCAGATTTCTTTTCCTTTTTTGTTCCTTGCAATATTATACATGTTAATCACATCGGTTTATTCGTTACTGTTGTGTATATATTCTTCCTGGATATCGCTGGTCGTCTGGAACTTGATTTTTCAGACTTTCTTGTACTAGCGTCAAGAATTGGTTTTTTTTTCAATATAATTATGTTTAGTTTTATTAACCTCTTTAATATCAATTTGCGTGTAACACATTTTATATATAAAAAAAAATTAAAATACAGATAACTGTATGCGATTAAATTATTTATTGCACTTTCCGGATACATCGGCAATTCCTTTGAAGTCGATTTTCACTTTGGCCGCCAACCACGATCTTAAATGTCTTTATGTTTTTAATAAGACAAATGAATGAATATTAATATAATTTTAAAAAATTGTGGATCGTGAGTGGCAGCCAAAGTAAAAATTGCCAAGTTTTGCTGGAAAATCCACCAAAAACGTCGTTTTCCGTAACCGTACCCGATTTTAGACACTTATTTGGCCATAGAAGAATTGCAATAAAACGGAAAAAACATCATATCGATAACAGAAATATATCTATTCGGTGTGAGCCAATGCTCCGTGTTGAAGGCCGTACCTTGACCTATAATGGTTTACTTTTATAAATTGTAACTTGGATGGAGAGTTGTCTCATTGGCACTCATACCACATCTTCCTATATCTACTAGCTATCTTTCGGGGAGAAATGGAAGTCCATCGTTGAATTTTTAAAAATGGCATATTACAGGGCCGTATTTGATGCTTCGTGAACCTTGTCCAAATTTCGGCAGCATATTTTGAGAACTTTTGATTCGTTTACGGTAGGTCTTTTTGAATTTATCAATTAAATGAAATTTAAACAGATCTTTACTCATTTTGGCCATAAAATGTGATTCATAACAATAGAAGAACAAGTCTATTATTAAAAGAGGCTTTTGATGCACGTAGGAATACCTATAACCTGTCGACAAACTGTGTAGCCGAAACCAGCCATTAATACCATTGTTTTTATATGGTTTATTAGTTATTACAGAAGTTAAATTCGTTTTTTGCCACGGTGTTGTCTGTTTGTTTTTCCACTTGTGAGTTTGAATGTCCCTTTGGTTTCTTTTGCCTCTGTCTTTAATGGCAAGTAAGGGAGCTATTTACTGCTAGTTAAAAGCTATGAAAGATTATTTGTAGAACACTTACTGGAGGCTGAGATGAAAGGATATTTTTGTGTAGTTTAGGTAGCAAAAACATGACTGGTTCCTTCCAATATTCAGACAAGGCCTTAAGCTGAGTTATGATAATTATATGATTGTTTACTTTCTTATTCTGTGGAGTGCAAATACCTGAATGTAGAAGACTTTATAATTTCATTCTTAAGCATTTCTGTGTACAACATACCTCCAACTCATTGTTGGCGGTTTTGCCGGCTGTACGACACCACACAGACTACTTTGATTCCGAGTCTATGAAGTTTATTCTAGAAATGGGCAAATTAGTAACCCTTTTAATTTCTAATTTATTTTCAATGTGTTTGCTTTAATGGGAATCTTCAATTTGTTTGTGAATTTTCCTAAATGTTGGTACAACATATGTCAAACTTTAAATTTCTTTGGTTTTCGGAGGCGGTATAAATGCTCCAAAAATCGTTTAAAAAATCTGCGTCTCGCTTGTCCTACATATTGTATATCGCACTGTGGTTTGGTTCAAGTAACAAGATAAGTGAGGCCTTCATGAAAGTCACAGGAAAAGTAGAGTGAAAAAGTTCTCTCTTTGACGGTTGACCTCACAGTATTTTAATGAAAAATGAAAAATAAACCAGCATTTTTAACTTTTTTAATAAGGAGATATATTTTTCGGTGGGTGAAAGGAGAAGAGTGGTTGAAGAAAGAAGGTTAGGGTGGGAGAAGGGAGAAGAATGTCCTTCCCCTCAAAATAACCAGCAGAGAACACTATCTCGTAGGCAACCTTACCCACTGTGAATAACAGCCATCCATTAAATAACTTCCTTGTTATCAGCAACTATATATCACGAAAATCATGATTGGAAACGCAAGCCCTTGAAAGTTGCTACATAGAAATGGAAAGTTCTAAATGTGAACTGTAGTTATCTATCGAACCTCATTGTCGTTTTCTAGATGTGAGTCAAGAAAGAAGCAGATTTAACTGTTTTTGTGGTATCCTTTAATTAATTAATTTTCAATGTGATAGACGCGATCAACATCGTAACTTAGAATTATTTAATAAGATATGGGGACGATTTTAAAGATATGACCAAAGGAAAATAAAAAATACTTTGTTCAGTTTTAAATTATGCATCGAGTATCCAACACCTAGTTGTATATAACTGTTTTCCAGTGATTTTATATTTTAAAAATGTGTTGTTGAACGTAGAACTTCGGTGGCCTCTGTTATGCTTATCCACCTTTTGTCAATCTAAGCATGGCATATCATAAATACAATCTCTTTTTCAGGTCGTACATGTGTGTTGACCTTCAGATGTCTTTTCTTTTCTTGGTTGAAATGTATCCTTCCCGCTTCTCTCTCATCGACTTATTGAAAAAAATCTCCTTCAATTAATGTTTTATAGTTTTCATCATTGATGAATTACTGTACAACTCGGATGGTAATGCTATTACTTCTGACCATGAATATATAATCGTTTGGAGTTGTCTCCCTGGTGGCCTTATAGTGTAACATCTAGTAATTAACCAAAACATTCCGATATTATACCCCATATCAGTCCGTTTATCAAACAAATATTTTCGTCACACTTTTCTCCGAAACTACTGAGCAGAAATACAGTAGCTTGGCAGTGATGACTTGTGAGCACTTTTCGGATCTGTCAGAGACCTACTTTCTGTTAACCAATACTTCGAAATTTTCGAAATAATGAATATGCTTAAAAAGAGTTGTCACATATTTCCCCTATACTATTAAACAGAAGGACCTAACAGGCACAACAGTTATGAGATGCAATATGTGATACATTTTCTGAACGGTCAGACAACTTCTATATGATTTCCGATACTTTTAATTACAAGTGGCTGTATGCTTAGCACGAAAAAGCGTGCATTTTTGTTGTAACATGAATGTTTTTCAAAAAGTCTGAACGATCTGTCGTTATGCAATATTGCAATATTGAACATTTTATCAGCAACCTATACACCTCGCCACCAATACAAATTCTGCAGTATGCATTTGTTCACCCATTTCACTTGACTCAAGTACATATTTGCAAGTTATATATTTTTTTCCTAAAAAGCGTGTCAGCATTTAGCGAATCACATTCTTAGATAGTTATGTTTTGATTGAGGTGTGTCTCCATATAGAGTCATCAACAATTGGTGTTATTCTTTGTATTCAGCAGTTACTTCCGCTTACTATTGTAGCCTTGTCATAAATGTATGGTTTTTCAGTCGCAATTCCAATGATATGTGATTCAATGCTTACAATGATGTTTTTTATTGTGACCTGCTGCAACTAAAATGATTAGAAACTTGTGGGGACTGATCAGATATACATGTACATACAAGATGTTCTTAAGGAGTCTCATCTACAATTTTAATAAGAACGTCATCTGTAGTTGGGGTCTAAATTCAAAACGAAAGATTTTTTTAACATTTTGCCAAATATAGTTTGTATTGTGCTATTTTCAACGGATTTCTTTGTCTCGCCTGCAACTGTTGCTGTTGACGTAAAAGAGTTGTGCTTAAAAAAATATTCCATTGATCAAAAAATTACAGAGAAATTGACGCTTTTATTGTAGATTTTACTCAGTGTGCTTTATCGTGATTATGAAAATTCTTTGAAAAATTCAATACAGGTTTGACACATTTACTAATGTCTAAACAAAAATTTCAAACCCAGTGTAGCAACAATAATATATGTGCTTAAAATGTCGTCACGCGACGGCAATAAAGGCAGAAACTACCATTTTTTTTTTAAATAAATATCACATTAGTGCTGCAGTCTGATTAGGTAAGAACTATAAGTGATATCTTCAACTGTATAATAGAGGAAACTCAGTCCAACATCTTTATAATTAAGTAAATCTATCAGCAAAACTATTTTCTATGTCTTGATCAGTTTGAAGAAAATATTTTCAGGATATGATAACTTACTGATGTAAATATAGGCAACAGTAGTATACCGCTGTTCAATAGTCATAAATCGATTAAGCGAAAACAAATTCGGGTAACAAACTAAAACCGAGGGAACACATCAACTATGAGAGGAAAACAACGGAACAAAAGAAACATCATAACTAAATACATGAATGTTGGATGTATAAATACCGAGACACGTCGAATAGCAATGCGAATTCACACTCGGCAAAGCAAGGAATCAATTTGCTTAGTCGTTATTGCCGAGTATCAACCCTTATATAATTAACAATGGTCTGTGACTAAAAGGATTACTTATGAAATGAAACATTTATAAAGCTGTATTTTATTTGTTTATTATTTATCTTTCTTAGTCGAAATTTGACCTGATATACAATTCAAGTACCAACATATTTATGGTAGAAACATATTTCTTCTCTTTTCGACTTTGAACACTTTTTCTCCGTATAAACTAGTTGCTACACAAAAATATGTCCCAGCCTGCCTGTCTTTGTTTTCAACAAAGACTAGCGTTTGCACTGTTTCGTATTCATTGTAGATCGGGTAAACATTCTTAGTAACTTCTACTCTGTCATCAGACTTTGTTGTTTGCAGGAATAATTCAACTTTGGCATTTCTAAAACCAAATACTCTGCAAATTAATGTAGTCTTTTCTGCATTATCACTTTCCTCAAAATTTGTTATGATTAATCCAGTAAGAGGAAAGAAAGGCTCTTTGAGGCTTACACCATTGTAAAGATAGCTTGTTAGTTCGAAGACATACTTGATATCTACGTTAAACCGGTTTGTTGTAGAAACTGTTACTTTTAACAAACCATGATACATTTTCTTAGCTTCTTCCACTAAATCAACATTGACAATCTTAAGCTTGTTGGATAATGGCGGAACTGAGATCTCTGAAAAGCTTAGAAGTGTAGTATTACCACCCCGTGTGGCTATATCATAAAAATATCTGGCTGGTTTTGTTTTGATTCCAAACCCTTCAAACGACGTGGAGATTTCATTAACAGAACTGTCAGAGTCGTAGCCGAAACCAAACATACCTCTGTATTTCCTTGTACTCGATTGCTTAGCTATGAAAAACTCAAAGTTATCAAAGCTATATGTTTGTGAAGAGGCAACAGCAGGGAAACCCAAGTCAGAACCTTTGAATGTTATTTCATAGTTCTGATAGCTGTAGAAATGTCTTGATTCCTTCTTCTTTTTTAAGTATAAAAATTCATCATGCTTGTATCTGACAATAACTTTAAATGTTTTATTTGTAATATCGATAGGAGTCAAAGAAGTTGATATATCGAATGAAATCAAACGGCCATCGGAAACGGATTCCACTGAATTTCCAACGGAGAAGAAATCCTTGTTCTTAATGTAAACTACAAAATAAAAGATTACTCTTGAATATTTCATCAAAGAAAATATGGTGGTGCTAATATATCGATATAGGAAACAAAAATATTTACCTCTTTATTAGTACAAATATTGCCGATATTATGATATTTTGTTTAAAGTTGTGAAATTACGTACTCTGTAACAGCAGATATTGTGTTTTTACATAAGACCGATTGAAATAAAACGTTTCGAGGATTGAGGACTAATATAACACCAGTTCAAGCCTGTCACACGTTCATTAATATATCCAAAGCCAGGAATCTTGAATGTAAAAATGTCGTTTTTTTCCATTATTTTTTTTTATTTTTGTATTATGAGAATTTGTTTGACGTTAGATATTTAGTTGTCATAATTTTACTATTCTAAGACTTGTATCTATTTAGAGTTTGACAAATGGTGAATGCAGGTTTTCAATGTGATCTCTTGTTGTCTATTCTAGTTCACGTGGCTGTTGGAAAACAACTTGATGTGATACTGTGTGATAATAAAAGTTGTCTTTATTACGACTACTTACTAGATTGGACAGGAACATTATCTACAAACCACGTAGAATGATAGTCACTACCAAAATATTGTTTTTTGTTCATTTTAAAGTTAGCTTTGATATAAGTTCCATATCGCCCTTTAGTTACAGTGATGGTCTCAAACTTCATTTGAGGGAGCTCACTACTTGCCGAGTCAAAGGCTACTGGTGGCAATCTCTGTAAATAATAATATTAAAGCATTCAGTGGTCAGTTTGGAAAATCATATTAAAAAAAAAGGTTTTATAGCTACCTCTAAAATTTCATGTATATCTTTTATGTCTAAGATATTCATACATTGTTATATTATATAAGTCATTGATATATATGTAATACATGATACATCTCTGGCACACTCCAACACGAAAAAGAGCATTTAATGAAACTGAAATTTTAGGATATGTAACTTAACCGCAAAAACCTCCAAGGGACGGTGCTGCATGGAAAGGTGAGAGATTGACGCACATGGTATACATGCACAAAAGTGGCATGCCATCCTCGTTCCTGATGCAGATGGGGTTGATATAAGGTGACCAGACTGCAGGAGACACCAAGGGATGATGCTGAATGGCATGCCCAAGTGTACATAGTACCAAATAGAAATATATATATATATCTATACAAGTCTAAACATGTGACAACTTAATAACATTCTCCATCGGAAAACACGTGGTTATACAGGGCTAACACCATATATATATATAATTTTGTTTTTCCCTCAGCGGGATTCGAACCCTTGCGTCTGTGACATCGTGACACCATCATAATATATATATATATATATATATTGGTGTTTTGGAAAATGTTGTTTGTGCTGTATTTAGACCCCTCTACCAAGAAATTTGTTTTACATGCACACGTATAAAAATTGCGGTTTTTATCCAACGCAATCATAGGTTTGAACGTTGTTTTCAATTTAGACTTGTTTATATTTTTTCGTTTGGGCTTGTATTATATTTTCCTTCGGGTTTATAGGATCCGTTCATCCTATTTCGACTCTATAAAATTCAAGAGTCTATCCTAAATTGAAGTAAATTATATGGCCTTCCAAATACCGTTTCGATTCCTAACATCACTGAAGAGACATTAATTGTCGAAATCCGGATATGGTGTCCAAAGTTTTGCACCTCATGTTTGCGGTAACCATCTTCTCCGCAAGTTTATTGTTTTCTGTTTGGTATTAAATTAATAATTTAGATCCATGTTACATCTCGTCAATCGTCAATGGTAGTCAGCAGGGTTTAAGAACATCAGTTGTTGGACCTGTTAGTCAAATGACATTTGTTATAATATACTTTTCCCTTATTTTGGTCTTTTGGAAAATGTTGTTTGTGCCTGTATTTAGACCCCTCTATCTAGAAATTTGTTTTACATGCACACGTATAAAAATTGCGGTTTTTATCCAACGCAATCATAGGTTTGAACGTTGTTTTCAATTTAGACTTGTTTATATGTATATGGGAATAATCCTGATTGTCTATGATAAAATACATACAAAAGGAAAAATTAGTATTATTATTATTGGTGAGTCTATGTAACCGCTATGCCATCCTCGTGCCTAGCGCAGAGAAGTAAATTATAGTGTGCCTTCATCAATCCAATCACAAACAGATAATCAATATATCAACATTCTCTGCATTAAGTATCCAGAACAGTTTCTGACAAGGAATCAACACATGATCAAGTGCCTAAAGTTAGGTCCGACTTATGTTCAAATAATAAACGAAAAACAAATATGATATACAGTTCTTGAGTTGGTGAAGGCACATACAGAATGTGGCGAGGTTAAACAAATTTGCTGGCGCCAAACCCTCCCCCTAACCTATTACAGCGGTGGAACAGTACAACATCAGAACAAACTATGAAAATCAGTTGAAAAGGGGGTAAATCATCGAATCGATACAAAGCAGAAAAAGACACAATAAAAACACAAAAGATAAAAAAAACAGATCTGAGAGTACTCGCTGTAACTGAAAGCTAGTTCGAAGCCAATAACAACTAATAAAAAAATGTGTATCTAAGACACATGTATTTTGACTTTTAATTTGTATGTGAGTGCGTAATTGTGTGTATTATTGTTTTCATTGAAGTTTATGTGCACGAAATATTTGCCATTTGATGTTAATTAGTTTTATTATTCCTTCTTAAGAATACAAAATAAACATGATTTAAAAGCTCCATGTCTCAAGACAAATAATGCATCAAAACATGCAATACAGTGTAAGAATGCAATACTTACAACATTATCATTTTCCTAAAGTCATAATATCAGTCTGAATTTCAATTGGAATAGACTTTAAACAGATCTCCCAGAAATATCGATGAACTATGTATTAATATTTAAAAATTGGTGGCCATTTTAAATACTCGTTGGATGGATTTATATCCTGGAAAAAAAATGAGTGATACAATAGCTCAAAGTATGCCATGTCTGACCTGGGCCAAAAATTATCAGAGGATAAAAAATGAGTGTTTAGTGCATTTAAAGATTATCAGTTGTTTTCTTGTTAGTCAAAGAAATGAACTAGTTTTAGTCCTTAGTGCATGTATTGGTAACTGTCGTATACACTCATTTGTTTGAAATACATACAATATTAAAGGAAATTTGAAAACAAATTAAACTGACGTGATTACATTATATTGTATTGCCAGTTGTATTCTTGTAGATTATGTTATAATATAAAAGATGGTTTACCTTGTTATATTCAAGCGATGTGTAAACGCTTCCAAATAATAAAAACGATAAAACTACATAAATAATACCCATCTTTGTTATTGAATGTCTCTAGTTTCAAAATGAAGCAAACTTTATTGAGTAAGAGGTCAGTATTTTGTTCGCCTACTCTCTGGCTAATTAACTTTTTATTACAATTTATGTCAGAAACAAACTTCATAATATTTCAAAAATAACCAATTACAGGAAATGACATTTTGAAAAAACAATTATAATTACAAACAGTTTATTTGTAACCAATTTTATAACATTTAAAAATCGTTTATGTGTAATTTTACGAATCATTTGTCTGCCAGCTACACTTATTAAGACCCAATCATTAATGAAAATTTTCATTTTAGCATAATTTCTGTGGACTTCATCTGATAATATTTTTCGTTTCTCCAGTAACACACCACTCATATAGATAATGCCTTGTCGGGTCGGATTAATCATGGTTAGCCATTTTTGTACTAGTGTAGAACAAAATAAAACGGAAATCTAAATGCATACCACATAGAACTTTCTATCTTTTACTCCAAACACACATATCTTTTTAATTTTGAATTTATAAAACTTTTTAAAATCTCACATTTTTATAGAAGCCGAGTGAGGATAATTTAAAAGGCTAAAAAACGAAAAACTGAAATAGAAAATGCAAAACCGGCCGCTTCAACAATCAGCCTAAATACTTGCATGCACTGTGTAGTAAAGTAAGCTAAACATGCGCTGAAATCGGTGGGTATACATAATATTATCGTTCACTGTCATATAGATTTTTTCCATTAAGTTGTTACACCCATTTACTTCTTTATGGTTACGAAATATTGGTGGTGGTGGTGGTGGTGGTGGTGGTGGTGGTGGGGGGGGGGGGGGGGGGGGTGTAGGGGTACGGTAATGTCATAAAAAATCCATCTGAAATTTTGTTTACTGCTTTTTAAAACTGAAAAAATCCACATCTAGCTACTAGTATATGGTGTATATTGCACTTGTTAGATTTCCTCTGAAAACATTTGGATATTATATAGAAACAAAACTAAAGAAATGATCTTATTGGCGTAAATCAGTACTTTGTAAAGAGACGTAGTTATTTTCTTTTCCAATTACATTATTAAATACACTATTTGTATGCTCTACCTTAAAGAATATACGTAGATCTACACTGTAAAGTTGAAAATATATAATATAAGACGAATGTGCTTCTTTCAAACGATTGATAACTGTATTTGTCATAAAAAAAATGCTTTCCCAACAGATTATTTAAGACGACGCTAAATTAAAAAAAATCTGTAGAGATCTTGTCTGTGTTTGAAATCATTATTGTATTCTACCTTTGATATGTTTCTGTGTCTTGCTATATAAGTATGGAACCACAAACTGTAACCTTCCAATAGAACTAGTAGGGGCAGTAACGTAGTTAGAAATAAATTTAGAGTGTCATATTTGCAATTTTAGTAATATTGCCTTTTTTTGGTTTAAATTTTAGATTTCACTTTGAAGCAAAAGTAGCTGTTATATCAAGCAGACGATGTAGTTCCTCCTAGGACTTTCAGATAAGGACTACATATCAGCAAACAAAAGATAATTCACTAGTTGTGACGATAGTTCGGCGCCAAAATTGCTGCCTTCGCGCATACTTACGAGGTCATTACAATAGAACAGAGAAAAGAGCTGGAGACAAGACACAACCTTGTTTTAGACCAAATTCTTGATCAAAGAAACCTGTTTCACAATCACCAAACAAAACTTTGTTTGATACATTACTGTAAAGTGATTTGAGCAGTTTCCAACACTTACCTTGAATTTTGGTTTTCTATAATAATAGAAAAGACCATCACGCCAGACTTTGTCGAAAGCTTTTGGTAATTTTAGAAAAGCAAGAAATGTTTTATAGGATAAATAATATCTAATTACAGAAAAAAATGAATTGTAAAATCATCAGAGAAAGCGTTATTTTTTTTAAAGGTAAAGAAAAATGCCCTAGAAATTTATTGAAGACATAAATTAAGGACCCCATCCATACCCTCATAAATACATTGCACAATTTCTTTAAATATTTTACATTATCTCTGCATTTATTTGTCTGCAATTAATATGAGAATAAAGTTGTGGTTGGTAATAAAATATTAAACAATTCAAGAAACAGTTACATAATCTGTTTTGCTTTGGATCACATTGATTGAGATTGCTGGTATACATCTTTTTTAACATACCGCCACATCGTCCATAGGACGTATCGTCCATACTTTGTAAAGACGTATCGTCCATACTTTAAGTATTTATTCCATTGTGGTTATAACATAAAATATAATAATGCAACAAATATTATTTCATAGTTATAACATAAATATGATTTTGTAGTATTTATTATGTACAAGTTTGACAGTTCACATCTTTTGTGCATATGCATGTTTATGCCATGGACAATTGGATCATCGGCAATCATACCAAATCTCCTTTAAACGTTTTACTATATAAATATAAGAAATAAAGATAATATTTTTGTTTTGTATTTTATTGTTTCATTCGGTCATACAGATAAACAAATATACAACAAACAACATAAAACATATATATCAGAAAGCGAAATAGGATGAACAAAAGATCAAAGAAGTCTAATCTTCCAGAGCATTGGTGTAAATTTCGAAAGTTTCGAAACAAGACCGTAAATCTAATCCGAAAACAAAAAAAAGACTATATCGAAGGTCTCGTTGCGAAATTACGGTCTGACTCATTGAGTATCAGGAGTTGGTGGATAACAGCATCACATCTAGCTGGATTTAAGTCCAGAGAATCTGATGTCCCCCCACTTCTCGACAACAATGATTTTTTTATATAACGACATTGATAAAGCTGAAGCTTTTAATGCTTTTTTTTGCGTCGCAGTCAAACATTTCTGATGAAAACATGTCTGTTCCTACTGACGATATCCCCCCCCCCCCCTGTCACGTGTCTTGACAATATAATTCTTCAGGAGCATGAGGTGAAAGACATTCTACAAATAACCAATTTTAATAAAGCATCTGGTCCTGATGGAATTAGCCCAAGACTTTTGAAAATTGCCTCAGATATTTTAGAAAAACCTTTGTGCTATATATTCAATCTAAGTTTGACTAAAATGTATTATCCACTAGTTTGGAAGTTAGCTAATGTTATTCCTGTTTTTAAGAAAGACGAAAGAAATTATATTGGTAATTATCGACCTATCTCATTGTTTAGTGTTATAAGTAAAACTTTTGAAAGATGTATATATAAACATATTATGAACCTTAAAAGGGATCTCTTGTCGGAACACCAGTCGGGGTTTATGTTAAAAGACTCAACTCGTAACCAGCTATTATACTTGACTCATGTTTTTAGTAAGGCCTTAGATGAGGGTAAAGATATCAGAATTGTCTTCTTTGATATAAGTAAAGCCTTCGACCGCGTATGGCATAGAGGTTTACTATTTAAACTAAAAAAGATGGGCATAACTGGGAATCTTCTTCTTAGGCTCAAAAATTATTTGGCTGACCATAAACAAAGGGTGGTTATAAATTGGCAAGTGTCCTCCTCGGCAGACATTAATGATATTGTAAATGAGGTTAATTGTCATATTAAGCTATTTGCTGACGACACAAGCATATATACAGTTGTCGAAAATCCTCTGGTTACTTCTATTACTCTAAATTCTGATATGCATCGAATTCAAAAATGGGCAGATAAATGGTTTATATAAGTTTAACCCGCAGAAAACTGAATCAATGATAATATCTAGTAAAAAAGACCCTGATCATCATCCGTCATTAATTATGGATAGTAATATAATAAATACTGTCGAGTCACACAAACACCTTGGTTAACATTTTTCGAGTGACGGCAGCTGGAAAATACAAATTGATGGCATCATAGCAAAAGCATATGTCCGTCTGAATATGTTAAGAAGGCTTAAGTTCAAAGCGGACAGGAAAACGCTTGAAGTCATGTATTTTTCATATGTCCGACCTATTTTAGAGTATGCCGATGTAATCTGGATAATTGTCCAGAATATTTGAAATTTCGACTGGAACAAATTAATTATGAGGCAGCACGTGTAGTTACTGGGGCTACTAAGTTAACAAGTCTACAAATTCTTCTAAAAGAGACCGGGTAGGAAACTCTATGGGAAAGGCGAAAAAATCACAAGCTTATTTTGTTTCATCAGATGGCTAACAATAACTCACCAGCCTATCTTTCAAATCTAGTCCCTACCTATGGCAAGCCGTTCTCGTCAAAACTATGTTTAAACCATTTTTTCGAAAAAATTACACACTGAGAATTAAAAAAGTCACACTGAGTCGTGAGAATAAGAACCTAAAATAACACACTGTGAAATCGAAATTACACACTGAGATTTAAAAAAAATGAAAAACACACACTTAGAATTTAAAATTACACACTGAAATTTTAAAAAGACACACTGAGATGAAATAAATTGAAAAACAGACACTGAGAATTGTTAATTACACAATGAGATTTCAAAAATACACACTGAGATTAATATGCAAATTTCCAATGAATATTCATGAGATGAATAATTCAACAGATTAATACTTTGGTCTCCCGAACTCGTGTCAACATGGGCATAGTGAGAGTCATGCCAGTAAGGGCATTTTCTCTTCCAGACCTTTCTCGTGACTATTCTGAGCTATAATTATCTAACACCAGCGAAAGATTAAAATATCAAAACGACCTAGTTGTTCAAAACTTCCATTTTCGTATGAATGGGTATCGAAATGGGAAAGACGAACTGTTGAAGATAATTTTCACATATATTACAATAACGATTTTTATGTGAGCCCTTTTGACATTATCAGAAAAATTATAAGTGTTGAAACAGATGAACAGAAACAATATATTGAAACTATAAAAAAATATCTTCATATAAATATTGGAGTAGGAGAACTGTCTGAAGTGTACCTTGCCAATGTTCTTGGGGGCATGCTAGTTATAGAATCAGAGTTAAAGAAAAGTTTGGAAAATCTGGACAAAGAAAAGAAAGAGCATGGCATATCTATTTCTTAATTTAAACATAGTAAAAGTATTTAGATGCATGATTTTTTTTATATTAGTTGTTATTGGCTTTGAACTACATG